TTGTGCTTTCTCAATGCTGTACCCCCAAACCATAGCAGCAAAGACACAGCTTAAGAGCATCTATTTCTTTCCGAAATCCCAGTTTTTATTTCTCTCCTTGTTACTAGAATTCCCTAAAAGAAATGTGAATCTCACTGCGTCCATTAACCCTCCTACAACGCAGCACAGAGTTGTCCTAAGTGTTGATTATATCCATTTCTGAGAGGCTGAGCAACTGCTCAGAAGGCTTGGACTTCAGAAACTCTTCACAGGAGGGGCAGGGCTCCCTGGCCTCCCATCCCCAGATGCCCAGACGCCAGGCAGAGCGGCAGATGCCCTAAGGCACACGCTACTCGCATTAGTGCAGATAAAACCCCATTCCAAGTCACACAGGCACAAAGAAGGGGTCTCTGCAGCAAGGCTGTCTGCAAGCCTCAGAGGTTGATTCTTCCAGAAGGCCCAAGCCCCCACATCAGTGTCCCCTCTGACCCCCAGCCACCTGTCTTTAACAATAAAACCCACATGACCCTGTGCTGTTTGCACTCTGTCCTTGGGGGAATGGGAGGAGGAATGAGTAGTGGTCTGGCTGTGTAAAAAAGAAGGACATTGATGTTTATCAATCATCTCCTAAGTACTAGGCATTACAGAAGTATAAATATCAATATTCCTATTTCACAGATAAGTCACTCAGAACACTAAAGTGATCTGTTAAGTCTCACTGTGAATAAGAAAAGCAGGGATGTGCACCCAGGCCTGAAGCAAAGAACTCTGCTTCTGGAACAATTCTTTTTTTTTTTTTTTTTAATTAAAAAAAAAAAGTTTGTTTATTCTTGACATAGAGTGTGTGTGAGAGCAGGGGAGGGGCAGACAGAGAGGCAGACACAGAGTCTGAAGCAGGCTCCAGGCTCTGAGCTGTCAGAGGCTCAAACCCACTAACTGTGAGATCATGACCTGAACTGAAGTTGGACGCTTAGCCAACTGAGCCACCCAGGCGCCCCAACAATTCTTTGAAGTAACAATGACCACCTTGCTGCCCCTGCCCGCCACCCCTTCCCATTTCACCCAACACAACAAGCAAACTTCCCAAGATGGGAATAAAAGACACTATTCCTAAATGACCCAAAAGTTAGCAGGAAGAAAGCTGACGAGGAAGAGGCAGGGATATACATTTGCATATAGATATGTATGCTTTTGCATATTGTCTGTCTTTCCTTTTCCTTTTTTATAAATACTGCTATTATTTAATTCTCCACCAAGGGGCTGGGAGCATCAATCCACCTTGGCTAGAAACGTGACTTCTACAGTATTCACCATCTTGACAAAGCCCACGATCATAAAAGATGTGGCCATTCCCACAGAGGACGAAACAGCATCTCCACTGCCAGTTTCGGTAAGACCCCTATAGCGGAGAAGGGAGGAGACAGAAACACACCACCCGTGCCATCTCTGAAGGGTGTTTCACAGTAATTCCGAAGTCCTTCTCCACAGAGAGCTATGCCAGTCAAAAGCAGCAGCAGAATGGCAAACTCCCAGCCTCAGGATGTTAAAAATTTACAAACTTGGTTGCGGAGTTAGCAGCACTCTCCTGGGCTATTCCAGAGGGAACAAACACAATCTTTAAGTCACCACACAGGCCCCTATCCCACTCCAAGATGGAGGAAAAATTCCAAAGGAGACTTGCAGGGAGCCTCAGAGCCTCAAAGAGGCCAAGACTGAGAGTGGTTGGGGATACATGCACCCCGGATCCACAAAGAGCAAACTGAGGAAGAAAGCCCCAACGACATTTGTTCTGAGCTTTTCAAGTGAAGGGCCTGCCTCCGACATGAGAAGCGTTTGAGCTTTTTCATGAGAGAATAGGGCAGAATTTCCTCCTTATGGGGAGAAAGCAGGAGATAGAAAAATGTGCCACCGTCCTGATTCTGGGGGATGGTCAGCTACCAGAACCTGTGCAGTTTCTCATGTGAGAAGACAATCCCCACACTCTCCCTGAGAGGAAGGGTCATTAGGTCTCATGGAAAACAAAAAAAGGACCTGATTCCCCCCTGCCCCCCCCCCCCAACTGTGGGTCACTTTGAGCCCTGGAAGAGGCTGCCTCCACTCCCTCCTCTTACGCGGAGAGGTGACAAGTTTGGTCCTGTTTCCTGGGCTTTTCCCCCATCTAACTCTAAAACCCCATGGCACAACCTCCCAGCAGCGGGGCCTGCACTCTCGTATGGGGCTGTAATAAATGGCTGTTCTCTGGCCAAACTGGTATTAACTTTTCCTTTTTACTTTTGATGTTACACACAACCCTGTCCTTGCTGTACCAGGAAGCCATTTCACCCATCTGGCTGGGAAGATGATCCAATTTTGGTCCTTTTATCAATGCTTTCAGTAACTTTTTTCTACTTCCCTTGCTGTAATTACTTTTGAATCATCAACACACCCAGCCAGCCCTAAAGCTCCAAGAACAGAATGCTAAAAAGGAAAAACACACACACACACACAAACCTAAAATCCTGTAATGGCAAACAACCTCACTAAAAAGCCACCCAAGCTGAGAGCAATTTAGTTTTCTCCTAGAAATTTACTTATTAATAAACTGCATCACACCCCCTCCCCTTTTTTTCAAAGGAGGCAGGAGGGCACAGAGATGGGATGCTGGCAGAAAAGGGGCAAGGAACTCATAAAGGAGAGAATTAAAACATCTTCTCCCCACCCCCACTTAAAAAAAAAAGGGGATGCAGGATTTGTAAATAAGGAGAGACTCAGAAAGTTGGCTTGCTGGTTGCTGGGTGCCCAGGCAGCCCAGGAAAATAGTATGTCTTCTCTGGAATGCAGTCCAATTACATGGAGAAAGACCCATGGTTGCTGGCTTGGGAATTCAGATTCCTCCAGGGATAAGTCTGAAGGACAAACCACACACAAAAAGGAAAACAAAAAACGTAACTCCAAGAAAATCCAACCAACATCAGCAACCCAACACTGTACAGAAGCCAGCTGCTCCGCTTCCTGCTGTCATCTATTCTGTTCCCCAACACAGGCCCTTGTGGCTGAAACGGCCAGCTGATATGTAAGATGCCCCTTCAGCAGTCCTGCTCTGTCTCACTCCTGGTGTGATTCCCTCACCAGGAAGGCACCCTCTAGAGCCTCTGCAAGAGAAGGACCAGAGCAGGGAAGCACAGGGTGGTTCTTCCCAAGTGTCATTAACACAGGATTCCTATGGAATCCTTCCACGCCTAAGTTCTTCACTTATGGCTACCTCCTGGGATGAGACTGGGACCAGGCAGGAGTCAAGTTCTCAACCCAGAAAGCCTCCGCTCTTCAGGCCTCAGCACAGCTGGGCGGCCAGCAGAGGTGAAGTTTCCCCTGGGGTCACACAGCCTAGTTAGTGATGCAGCCAGGAGAGCAGGGCAGAGGGAGGCAGGGGTTTTTCTGGGATTGGGATCTAAACAGGCAAAGCTCTCCCCCTCCCCAGGGCAAGCTTAATTTAAAGAAGGCCATAAATTCAGGAAGCACACAGTGCCCCCTCCCCAATCCCTTCCACTCCAGGAAATAGGGAAAGGCTGACACTAGCAGCCCTTGCCCCTAGGCAAGTTAGGGGAGCTCCTTGGGACTGCGAACCCCAGGAATAAGTGACCTGCTGACTAATGTTTCCAAATAGGGGGGATGTGGGCGACACCGAGGCACCACAGCTGGCCACCCACCAGGGTCTAGGCCTGGATACATTCAATTGCAGTACTGGCCCTGCACGTCCTGTTCTGGGGGGGTCGGAGGAAGGGCAGGAACGCTTCAGATTTGGTACCAAGAGCGTGCTTTCCCCAGTCTCAGGGCCAGGTGGCCTCAGTCCGGGAAGTTCTCCAGAAAAAAACAAAAAAAACCCACAAAAAAACAAACACCCCAAAAAACCGACGCTAGTCCTTACTCCTGGCAGAAATTCTGTCCACTATTTTAGACACATTCCTCAAGGCTCCAGGAGGAACGTGGGGGAGGGGAAAAAGAGTTTCGGGGCTTCTCGTCACCGAACTAAGAGATTCCACCCTCGGGCCCGACCTTTCCCCGCCCTCGGGAGAGGCCGAGGCCTTACCCCGCTCCGATCGCCAAGACCACCCCAGAGAGGGCCCGCAACCCCCTCGCGTCTGCACCTGACCCTCAGGAAGGCGGGGGCCGCGAGCTGCTGCCCACGGAGAACTCGCACTTTTTCGCTGCGCGATTCAGAAACACGCCGGGTCTGATGCCATCCGGCGAATTATGTAACCAGGGACACCGCTCCCGGGCTAAACAAACGCGGCTCTGTGTGTGCAGCGGCGGCCCCGGGGAAGCGCACCGGGGCAGGGAGGGGCTCTGGCCGGGCCTCGGGGTCGGGCTCGTAGGCTCAGCAAACGCGGCAGGAGGCAGCCCAGCCGGAGCACCGCGCCGCCGAGGTCCCGGGCCCAGCGCAGGGCCGCGGGCGGGCCAGTAGGTCCCGCAGGCTCGGCCCCTCCCCCACCGCGGCCGCCCCCGCCCCCAGGCGGTGAACTTGGTCCCAAGTCCCGCAGGACGCCGTCACCGCCCGCGGCCACCGCGACCTCGGCCTTAGGGAGCCGCTGGGAAGTGCTGGACTCCAGTTCCGGCTCCATTCCAGCTCGGGACCCCTCCGTCCCCCTTCCCACCCCTCTCTCCGCCGTTCTGGGGCGGTTGCGCGCCGTCGTGCGGGAAAGTGACGACCCCACCTCCCAACTCAGGAGGGGACGGACGCTGGTGACTCGCGCTTCGAGCGCTACTCCTCAGTCTCTCTATACGGGGGGAGGGGGTGCAGGACGGGGTGACAGCTGCGCGGATGACGCCCCTCCCCCTCGGGCGCCGGGAGCCCGGGCCCCGCACCGCCCCCATGGGGGTCTGAGTGCGGACAGAGACGCGGGGGCGGATGGACTAAGGAGTCTGGTCGGAATCTAAGGCTCTGATCCCCGGGAGGTCAGGGGCCGGGACTCGGGTTCGGGGCTTGTGCTAGCCCCCCACCTGCCCGGGGGCGACGCAAAGTTTTGGGAAGTTGCTGCCCCTACCTTGCTTGGTGAGCACCAGGGCGTCTTCCCTCCGCGCCTGGGTGATGATGGAGCCGTGTTCCATCTAACAATCCCGCGGGCCCGGGCTGGCTGGGCGGGAGGACCGGCGGGCGCGCAGGCTGGGCTGGGCTGGGGGGCCTGGGCGGGGGCCCGCTCCGGCTCCGGCTCCCGAGACTCGGACTCCCACAGCTGTTCACATCCCTGCTCTCGTTCCCTCCCTGGGCCGGGAAGGGAGGCGGCCTGTACGGAGGGCGGGCGGCCCGGGCAGCGGCTCCCCGGTTGCCCCCGGCCCCGATCCCCCGGCAGCAGCTCCGGGCTCCTCAGTTTGGGTCCAACATGGAGAATCCGGAGCGAAAACAAGAGGAGGAAATGGGACACGGGGCGGTTTCCAGGCTCCCCCCTCCCCTCCGTACTCCGGATAAACAACCCGCGGCTGCAGCGCCCACCCCCGCGCGCCTCCTGGCTCCGGACCCGGCCTCTCCACGGCCGGCCAGTGCCTGCAGCTCCGGAGCACAGTCCTAGGCCCCAGGACCCTTCACCTGTGAGCTGCTGGGGCTGCGGAACATCCGGAGCTTTGCTATTTTGTTACGGAAAAAGCGAATCCCCGAGGGGGGTGGGGTGGCGGGCGGGCAGGCTGGCGGGGGAGACTTGAAACCGCTCCGGCGCTCCAATTGGCCCTCTTGGAGAAAAGGGGCGTGGCCCCTCCTTACTATGCGGTGCGAGGACCCAACAACATTCCAGTCGTTGCGGCCACGCCCCCGGGCCACTCCCCCCCTCGCCCCGCTGCGGCCTCCCAGTCTCCTCGGCCACACCCCCTTCCCAACTACTTAAAAGGACACTCCAAAGCTCACGTTTCCCTACTCGGTGCTTGTGTGTTCACGTCTGTGCATCTCTTCTCGGGTGACCAGGGCAAGCCGCGAAGCCTAACCCAGGTTGGGTCAGGATGGGAGGGTTCGGGGCAGTTTTCTTACTTCCTGCTTGGCCCTCGAATCGTGAACCCCCAGTTTCACATAAAAGAGTACAACCATTGAATCCCGAAAGAGATGTGTTGGGGGGGGGGCGGTGAGGGGGAGGCGGACTCAGGATCCCAGAATATCAGAACTGGAACTGATCTCGGGACGGTCTCAGCCCCCCCCCCCCCCCCCCCCCCAAATGAGACAGGAGTTGCAGGGCTTTGCTCAAAGCCCATCATTCATTCCCATTCAGGGCTTACTCTCCTCCCCCCACCCCCCCCAACCCGGTAGTCCCAGCCTCAGTTTAGATGGATAGAGGTCTCTAAGGGAAGAGCTTTTGCTCAGTGACCTCAATGCTGCCCTCCCTCTTTGCTCTTAGGCCTCAGACACCCTCCCTTGGCTATGGCTCCTGGACTTTCAAGGCTGTAGGTGAGGGACACACACACACACACACACACACACACACACACACACACACACACACTTGTTCCCAAGAGGCTCCAGAAGGGCAAGTTTTAACTCCATATTAGATCCTTCCCAGTGAGCTACATCTGTCCACAGGTGATGTGAGCTGCCTTGGTATGAAGGGATTCAACACTGGCAGGAGTGATGTAGGGTGAGATTGCACTGGGTGACTTATGAGCTATTCCAACCCTAATAGTACCTGATTTAATGGAACTCACCGACCAAGGAAGGGGCTTCCAGAAGGTAAGGACTTCTCTGGTCTCTGGCAGCTGGGAGCAGCTGATGGCCTTCCCTCTGCAGTTCCCATTGCCCAACTTAACACCAGGTCTCACTAGGAGGTGGAGGACAAGTAGGTCATATCTGAACTCTCCAGGTACCATCAAATACCTGACCCCCACAGTCCCTCCTTCATGAGGACAGGTGTGGTTGTGATGTGTATCAGCCTGTGTGCCTTAATAGTGCTCGTGTGGGCCTGTTTCTTCTGTTCCTACACACACATTGACAAAACCTTTTTATATAACACTATTTTAATGGAAATGCTGTTTTTCCAAAATGAGAGCTGTTACAGAAGATCTGAATGATGCTTATGTAACTTTAAAAACTGAGTTTGGGTAGATCTTAATTTGTTAACGGAAGGGGAAAGGGAGGCGTTCTTGTGTATTTATCTCCCATCGTTATTAAAAGATCACTAAACCAATAGGATTCTCGAAGGTAAATCTTCATTAGTTAGGTTATGATGGGGCCTTTTTGGGCCCTGCCCCCTACACCTTTGCAAGTTAGTTCGGTTGATGGGAGGAGGGAGAGTGCAGGGAGGAGGGGAGAATTGAGGATTCAGAGGGACCTGCTACCCCCACCTCTGTAGTGGTGGACAGGACACTACATCTCTCTAGACTTCAATTTGCTCATCGGTAGAGACAATCCCTCCCTCATTTATAGTTTATAAAGTACTTACACAGACACTGCCTCTTTTAATCTCTCATGTCTTTGAGGTTGACCGAGCAGTTTTATGCCCATGTTGTAGAGGAGGAAACAGGGTCTGGAAAGGTTAATTGACTTACCCAAGGTCTTTCACAAGCTTAGTAGGAGGAGGCAACTCTAAACTCTTTTTTTCTTTTTTCTTTTTTTATAATTTCCTATGTGTAGAATGGAGGAAATACTAGAACCTAGTCACTGTCTTTTCTTGCTAAGAACTCTAATTATATCACCTCCTCTGGGAAGTCCTCCCAGATACCCACTCTCACATCAGGGTTTTACAGCTTCCTACATACTCTGAGCACTTAACATTTTGTCTTGCAACTGGCAGTTTGCTTATTGGCTTCCCAACCAGAAGATGGATTGAGATTAATTGAGACTAATGAATAATGTATTATTTATTAGTGTGTCTCTTGTACCTAGCATAGTACCTGCCACAGAGCAGGCAGCCTTATGTGTTTGCTGTATGAGTCTTTACTCTGTGTCTTAACCCGTGTTCTTTTGGACAGGGGTTCAGAGACCCACGGCAAGAAGCACATTTTATACTGCAAGATAACTAAAACAATTTTCACGGGACAGTATTTACCCGTGCTGTGTATGTGCACTGTGGTGTTTTCTATTGTATTCTATTTCATGTTTTTAAGGTGCTGTCCGTGACCCACTAATTTGATTTCATGACCCACTACCAGGTTGTGACTTTTGGTTGGCACAACACTGCTGTCATTTTCTGTCTGTTGTAGATGCCTTCTCTGTGTACTGTTGAACTGTCCCTAATAGATGCAGAGGATATGGTGCTCAGGTAGCCATTGTTATGAGGTCAAGGAAAAGTTTATATATAAGAAAACAGAAACCCTTCCAAGACTAGAGAGAGGCACAAGGGTGCAAATAGAAGCCAGAGGAGGGGGAAGGGATAGATGAGGGAAGGTCTCCTAGAGGCCTGCTGGGAACCTTTGTGCCTCCAGAAACTAAAAGGCAGTGCCAGCTTTACTGGAGCCTGGAACCCCAAACACGGATAGGCCATGGGACTCTTATTGATCTGCCCCCAGAGTATAGGTCTCCACTCCAGAAAGCTCTCTGTTAAGGGGGTGGGGGAAGTGAGGGGTAAGTGGACATTCCCACTTCTGCCTAAAACAGCCTCTTCAATAACCTCTTGCCTCTAGGCCAGTTGCTGACTATGTGACTTTGGGTAGGTTGTTTAACTAGGTTCAAGGTTGAGGGTTGCAGCCAGGGCTCTCTGGGCCTCACACCTCTCCCAAGAGAAAGCTCACCTACCTGTCCCATCCCTATACCTCACCGGGAGGGCTGGTGAGAGGAAGTGTGAAAACAGAAGCACCCCCACCCCCAACCACCAGCAAGTGCCAGAACAGTGGCGTGGTGAGGGTGGGGCTCCAAGGAGCGGCTGTCCCTGTCCGTCCCTGTCTGGTGGCCTGGACTGGGTGTTCCTGAGCCAAGGTTTGGGAAAGGGAAACAGAGCTGGAGGGGCCTCCTCTCAGGGAGATGCCTGCTGCTTCAGAACCCTGCCCCCTTCACCACAGAAAATAAACACAGGCTTGGGCCAAGGAAGACCTTTCATGACCTTCTGATGTCACCGAAATGTTCCATTGAAAAAAAATGTTTATTTTTATTACAAACGGAACACATCCATTTTCTTGTTTTCTCTGTTCCCGCAGAGTCTCAGTTCCGTTTTGTGTTGTAACTAGGAAGGTGGGGTCTCGGCACCAGAGTTTGAGAGCCCTGTGCCCTCTGGTCAGTTGCAAGGCTTGTTTAGTCCTTTCCTGGCTGCTCAGGGCAAAGTCCCTGGGGTGGGTTGGGATGAAGGAAAGAGAACCAGTTACCGTGACTGAACAGTTGGTGGGGGTACCAGGTACTGGGGGCTGGGGAGGAGCTAATGGTAGTGGGCATAGCTTCTCTGCAAAGTAATCTGGGACCCCTCACTGGGGCTTCAGATTTGGGAAGATGAATTCTGCAAGGTGCAGGCATGCTCACATCCCAACCCTACCACCTAGTTACTTAAACTTTTGACTACCTTCCTCATATGAAAATGCGGCTAACAGTAGTACCTACTTCATAGGTCATTGTGAAAATTAAATGAGATAATATGTGAAGTGTTAGTGCCTGAAACACTAGAAGTGCTTAATATTACTCTCACCATCATCCACCTTTCCTCCAGAACTGTTCCTTCTGCATCTGCCCAGTTCCCTGAGCCAGAAACCTGACGTCACCCATGCCTCTTCCTCCCGATTCATGTCCCCGCCAATCAGTCCTGAGGACCAGTGACTCTTCCCTTCCCAAGTATTTGTCAGGATTCGTTTAAAAAATTTTTTTAGGGTGCCTGGGTGGCTCAGTTGGTTGAGTGTCCGACTTCGGCTCAAGTCATGATCTCACACTTTGTGAGTTCGAGCCCCGCATCGGGCTCTGTACTGACAGTT